GATGTTTAAAAAATTATTTTATTGTTTGAATTCAAATAAAAAAAAACTGGAACACTCATAAACGCAACTAAAACAAAATAAAAATATCCAGGACATGTCTTTAGTTTCAGCTGCTGTCAATACAACCAGATAACTACAACTTTGTTGTTGTTTTTTTCATGACTTACATGTAGTCAGTTCTGCCTAACATAATGCAGAGGTTAGTTGGTGATTTAAAAAGATAAGAACTTTCCTGACATCACTGTAGCTTATTGGTCCTGAGTTTAGGGCACCCTGATGGCCAACTTCTGCTTTTTTACTTTTTTTTTTACCTCTACCTGGGAATAAATGACAAGGCCTGCTAGAGGGGGATGTTAGGCTAAAGCATGATCTATGACGATCAAACTGAGGTGTCACAAGTGGTTACATTGTTACTGAAAAACAAAACAAAACAGAGAGAATGAGGAGGAGCTTCTTCCCCCAGGCTATTCGGACCCTGAACCAGGTGTAGGACTGGACTCTCCCACACATCACATCACCACACGCACCACCACACTCTTCCTATAATCCTATAATTCATAATCTTGATAATCTCTTTCTGCTATTTGCACTTTTTTTTTTTTTTTTTTACTGTAAATTCCTAAGTTAATTTGTAAATTTTGTAGTAAATTGTAAATACTGTAAAACTTTTTTCTGTCATTTAATGGTCGGGCATTGTACAGCTACAAGCATTTCACCCCCATGTCATACTGTGTATGGTTGTGTGTGTGTGACAAATAAAATTTGAATTTGAATTTGAATTTGAAGTGTTGTGAACCGAATGTCACCGTCTTTGAATCTGAATAAAGCTGGAATGTTTAATCAAAGATGAGAAATCAGCGTAAAACACAAAAGAACTAAATTAAATGAGAAAATGTAGCACTGAACAGCCTTCAACGTCATAAACAGACCTCACATCCAACTAAAACTACAGTTATTTTATAGTACACCCTCTGTATCCTCATAACACACATATACAACCAAATGTATCCCCAAACAAATCTAAGAAGTGAATTTCAAAGATTTGAGATTTTTTTTTAAAAAGGGAAGAAAACAGCCAAAGATATTTCAGTGCAAATACAAATGTATTACTCTCAACGTGACACAGAAAGCAGTTTCTACATGAGCCCTGCTGATTAATCTCTCTTATATATCGCTCATATATCTTCAAGGAGCTGCTTCGCTTTAATCAGCAAACAGAGCTTCCTGTATGAATGCAGAAGTAGATTCTAATTGTAAGTGATAATGTCTAAAATATGTCCCTTTTTTGTTTCAGTCAAAGTAAAAAGCAACATGTTTGAAGCAGAGAGAGGGGGGGAAAGCAGACAGCAGAAGCAGCACTGACCAGAACACAAAGCTCAGGCTACTCACCAGTTAGTGACTCGAAGAGGAAACCTGTCAGTCTGGTGAAGGGAGGACTAATGCGAGTCTTCAAAAAGCTGCGGCAGCTGGAGAGAAAGGAAGAGGGCTGGTTGGTTTTCAGCACTTCCTGTATTTAAATCAGGTTTGTATTTTCTGTGTCTCAGCAGTCAGTGCTGGGCTTTTTTTCCACTAAGAACAGAGACACCAAGAAGCTCTCAGTACACCGCACAGCACCTTACCACAAAATTACCCTAAATATGTAATCTGCCACTTAAAAAAACACAGGCTGCTGACTTTTTCTCAACTATTTAACAACAGGGAGTTGATTCATTATGTATTAAGTCATGTTTTTATTTTAGGAGCATTCATAATACATAACACATAATAGATAATTCAAATATTTCTTGTTTCTTTCATTCTAAAGAATGAAGGAACATTTAATGAAATATAATCAGATCGATTATAGGAGCAAAAGTGTTTCTTTAAACCCATAGGAGGTCTTAAATGTTGTGTTCAAAAGTTCCTCAATTTAAAGACCGTCACAGACGCGAGTGCAAAGGTTTCGTTCAGCAGCATATCTTACGTGACATTTCTCAGTGCTCAGCAAAGGCTGGCATGTTAGCTGGCAGCTGGCAGAGGTGAAAGAGGAAGTTCTAGTACAGAGACAAGTATCAATGGCCGGGGGTGTTGTTGAGACGTGATCAGATTGAGACACTTACCTCCAGTCTTTACCTCCAGGTGGCAGCATTTCAGAGCCCAGACATAGCTCAACTTCAGTTGACATTCGGTTGATATTTCAGAACAATTGGTATTTCAGATATAAAGGATGCAACCAGGAATTGTCTGTCTGTCTGTGTTCACTTCATATACTGTATTTCCATGGAGGTTTGCATGTTTCAGTAAACTGCTGCAACATTTTCCTATTTTCGTAGCAACATGAGAGATAGCATAGAACTTTTGCACAGTACTTTAGACATGGTCAAGTCGACTGGTGAAATTCAAACCAGGTTCTGAAGGGGGAAAGTGATTTAAATGTTTTTATGATGCTCAGGACTTTTTCAGTTAATTTTTAACTGCTGTAACAAAGAGACCTTACAACTCTGGGATGAATAAAATATATTTCAACTTTGCCATGTCTTCTCTTTAAGGGGTAACTTGATCCAGTAGACAAAGTAAGACGAGTCATCTGAGAAAACTATCTTATAAGTCTGATTTTAAACTACAAGCCTAAATGTAATGATTCAGTAAATGTTGTAAGTAAATATTGCTGTTTTTATTAGTGATTATAAAATAAACATTACAACTCTTTTGTTTGCTTTAACAAAAGATAAAGAAAGATGACTGAATCTTTTTGGGAAAGAAACACTGAAATCTTAAAGCGCAGCACTTCATTCTTTCGAGCATGAACATCCAGAGATGATTTGAATTTCATTTTAAGTGTACACTATTGCATATTAGGTATACTTCCTCATTTTTTAGCTGGTGAACATGAATACCAGACCTTGTAGTCAACAACAACAACAACAACATATGTTTTGATAATGCCATTCAAAATGCCATAGAAAGTAGAGACTTGGTCTGGAGTCAGTGTCGTCTCTTCCTCTGTTATTTTGCGGCTTAATCAGATCTTTTTCATTGTTATGAAGACCACATAATTGACTTACAGTGAGTGGGGCTGGTTTTATAACATAGCCACTATTTTGGGGTAAAAAAAAAGTACTTAAAAAAGGAAACACGAGCTACACATTTCCTGAAACACACATTTTTACATCCTGGTACCTCATTAACACACATGACATCACTTTATGTCAAAAAATTGTGATATCAGAAAGAAAAGAAAGCTCTAACTGGTAAAAACGTTTTTGTGAGAAATATTTGAGTGGCTTCTTAAACTTCTTCCTTCCACTGCTTCGTGTTACTCCCCTCTTCTCTGCTTTGACTTTTACAAAGAAAGGACATATGTAATTATACCCATGTGGAAAAGAAATAGTAAAAACTTATAAAAGACATGCATAAGATGTGGCCCACTTCATATAGTTTATATGATTTACTCATGAAAGTGGCCACTTTCGCATTACTTTCCTATATTGTTTTAGGAAGCATCCAAAACATACAAGTTTCATTTATACAATTTTTCAAGGGATCTTATATCTGTTTTCAGTCTTGTGTGCTTTTCACACAAGTATCACACAAGACAGATACAAACTTTATAAGATTTATGCATATCTTTTCCATATGGGTAAACCGTGCATGCAAAAAGCAAACTGGCTAAAAATTTGCAATAACTATTGAGTTTGAGTTAATCTGTACGATGTGTTGTGTGTTAGGTTAGCAAAGATCCTCACAAATATGTAAGTATGAACAAGTGATGGTGCTCAGTGTAATCAGGGGTCAGCACTGTGCATCATCTGCTGATGCAAGCTTGTTATGTAATGAGCTGACTCAGCACTTCCTTCTGATTCCCGGTGGGACTCTCTCATTATCACTCATGCGCATGCGCGCACACACACACACACACGCACGAGCTTCATGTACACAGGGTGGTTGTAAATAAGGGTTTTTGGCCTGCAGCACGAATCAGTTACTTTCTTCTCATAGAGCTGCTTTCCCGTGCTTTAATCTCAAACAATAACATTTGATCAAATGTATATTTATGGTTCATTTATTGTTCATTTGGAACTGGTGACATTACTGCTCACAAACTGCAGCAGTGGTGTTGCAGATAGTGTAAATATGACATTAAAAATGAAGAAAAAATTGTGAAGGTTTGTACCAATTGTTAAATCTAAAACTTACACAGAGAGAACTTACACTACAAGAGAACTGTAGTTACAATCTTCTATACACTTTTCACTGCATTGTTAGTAGTTACTTATTCTTATATCCTTGCTAAAGGTAATTGGTGTGACCTGGATATCTTGGTCTCAGCAGCCACTTTAGTCAAAAGGAAACCACCATAACTTAAGCACAGGCCTAACTGCAAAATAGGACACCCAGCCCTTTAGTCTTTAAACCTTGTGTTTTAAAGCAAAACGAAAATTTCTGAGTTAACTAACTATAACACCAGTGAGATTAAACTCTGTGAGAAAGCTTCAGTGCGCGAAATGTGTTGTTTGTCGCTTTTGTCCAGCAGAGGTCACTGTTCGTTAAATTTCAGCCCCACTTTCATTTTCACTGCCTTTCACGGGCCGCAAAAGCTAGTGCGCAGCCGCACTCAGCTGCAGTAAGTAAAAAAAAAAATGCAGCGTGAGACCGGAAACACTGTTTTCAAAATAAAAATCGTAGCGCAGTAGAATATCGTCAGTCATCTTTATATAATAGATTATAAAAAAAGAGTTGAGGCCACATAACCACTTACACAATTGCATTATCAGTGCTTTACTTATACATTTGCAATCAGGGTTTATTAATTCCCCCTCGTATCTGGATTTATAACCACATTTCAATGGTAAGACCTTTACATTTGTGTCTGAAATATTTAATTTGACATTTAAAAAAATGAATATCTAAATTATACCCGAAACGGCTTCGTATTTATTATTTCATTCCACCGTAACATTGGCCCGGTCGGTGTACAATTTTGAAATTTGTTCCCCGGATGTCGCACCGTCCAACTGAGACGCTTGACGACACGCGCAGACCTCCAGGCAGACGCGGCGGCGACAATCACGAACTCAGAACGCGCGGCACGGCCACGGACGTCTGTGAAGTCAGTGTCCCGCTGTTTACCTGAACTTAGCCAACCCCGCGCACGCTCTCGGACATAACCGATACACGGACACGCGCAGCGGAGAGGCGGAAAATTATGGCGACGTTGGGACCGGAGTCGGCTCGCCCCCCTCTGGGTTCTTCTCCGTTAGTCCAGGCTCACATCGGCAGCGCCAACCTGCCTCCCAACCGGGGCTTGGAGCGGGCACTGGAGGAGGCAGCGGCCAGCGGCGCCCTCAACCTCAGCTGCCGAAAACTGAAGGAGTTTCCCCGGACAGCAGCCAACCACGACCTGTCGGACACGGTGGAAGCAGGTAGGTTGTTCTTTGGTGTATTGCACTCCCCCAACAGCCCATCCCGGTTAGCTTTTAAGAAGGGGGGCACACCGGTGCTGGGCGGTAACTGCTCCCCGCTATAAACGCGTCACGGCGGCGTGGAGACTCCTTTAAGTAACCGCTGGACGTTATTTACAACATTGGCATTTCCGTTATCCACGAGGACTAACTGAGCGTTTGCTCACGAAGCTGCACGGGTGGTGTGCCGAGCCCTCAGCCCTGGTGGTGTTTGCAAGATGGAACTTTGGCTTCACCTGAACCGGATGCACAGTTGACTTTAACCCCTCCACTGAGTCGTGTTTAGCCTCCTGCTTGGCCTCATTGTGACCTGAGATTTGTTCATTATTGAGAGAACAGTCATAGGAAAAGTTTCAAGTTTCCAAATGACTGAAGCCCTGTGTTTATGGAGGGCTATAGTGAAAGTGGGCACTGGAGCATTTATCACTGATCCGACTGTTCAGTGGAAATCCCCACTACTTCCTTTTAATCCATTACAAGATGTAAACAGGTATGGAGAGTTGGCTGAACCCCGACACACTCAGTCTGGGCTGTTTTAGGCACAACATAGCTATTTTCTTTCCAACCCCATCCCCTATCACGTTAATTACCAGAACACAAAAGGTTATGTGTGTAAAGTTTTCTAACATAAAGGTAACCAATAGAAAAAAAGATGTATTTTTGCGCTGTAAAAGCTGAAGGAAAGGGTCTTTAAGAAAAGCAGATGTTGTTTTATATGAGGGCTCTTTGTTACAAAGAAGGCTTGATATAGGAGTCATGAGTTTAAAAGTTTAAATGTGTTTGCGCTCTAACAGACCAGTTACCTATCCATGTCTTAGACTGTATGTAAAAGATGGATGTAGCCACCATGCAACCACCCGTTGCTTACTGAAGACTGATTATGAAGTCCTGAGCGGAGTTTTTTGTTATTGTTGTCATGTTTTGATACTAGACAAGGACAAAGGGTTGGAGCTGACTGTGAAAGAACTCTGCATACACCTAGGGTGATGCCTTGTGATTCATAAATAACTAGCTAATTAGCATACCCTAAATAATCCTGATTTATGACTCTAAAAATGATCATAATTTGGATCTAAACTTGAACTTTATTCAGTATGATCCAAAATCAACAACCAAGCCCATAAACTCATCAGGAAAGTGTTTACTCTGGTCAGAGAGTAAAGGAGTCGAGTGCCATTTTAATGAACTTCTGTACAACATATGTACATATATTTAATAGCTTCCTGTCTGGTAAGGCTTAAATTCGGCTCTGTAGCTGCATTAAAGGACAATAATATGACTTGCTAAGTGGAACAGGCTTTTCAGAAGTCTTTGTGAATAAAATTATAGTGTGGGTTTAATATGTTATGTAGAACTAACTAGCAGTGTTCCGTATCTTTGCAATATATGTGTACAGGCTATAGAAGCAGTTAGCTTATGAAGTAGCACTCCACTGTCTTGTTCATATGTGATCACTTAGGACTTAAAAATAAATAAATAACATGGCAGCAGCCAAAATGCTAACATTGAGCTTTCAGTGTGGGGTCCTAAACCAATGGCTGATGTCATGGTGGCTGCATCCGTCTTCTAAATACAGTCTGTGATCTTGGTGTATATTGTGAGTCTTGATAAGTATGGGGAGAAGCAGGACTACCTTTATCCATACTGGGGTTCATGGTTGGCATTTTCTTATTGATACATACCAGGTCAAACGGAGTATAGGATATAAGGTGCAGGTCTCTGTGGTTATCAAGCAGTCAAGTTTTCATCACTGACCTACTGCCCTGATCCACATAATAGTTTTCAGTGTTCGCTCTGACATCATGTGGATTCATAAGGATAGATTTGGGGGCATGCTGGTTAAGCTGATTTGCTGCACTGTGCAGGCATTTTATCTTTCAGCTTTTAAAAGTAGTAGAAACACTGGGTTAGACACGTGCTCTAAATGTTGCCTGCTAATGCCGTTGGCAACAAAAACTAAGCAAAGACTGCTCTTCAGAGTAAGTGAATAAATGGGTCGGCTGTGCTACAGTGAAGACAAGTGACGTTACTTTGCTGCACTTCGGTCTCTAACTTTGTTTATGTACACTAAAAAAGAAATGTGGATTACGTAACTGCTGTGGAGCTCACGTTTACAGAACCATACACCCACCCACCCACGCACGCATGCACACACACGCACACACACGCACACACACGCACACGGCAGCAGCAGTATGAAGTCAAGCGATAGAAGTGATAGCAGTAAAATGAGAGTGTGAAGATTGTGTGCTACAGTTTAACAGCGTTCCTGCAGTATATATTGGGGATTCCTGGTCATGGACAAGACTTTGTGATCTGGGATGTTTTGTGTCACTTACATACCAAATGGCCTTTATAGAATCCTTCTTATAAATCTAAGAGGGTGCTTGTCCTGCCTCTTATCCCTAAGAGTCAGTCAAGAGAAAAAAAGAAAGCAGGTAAAACTGGGCCCTAACAGTTTGCAAGCTGTAGATGTTTGTGTGATATGTGTCAGGACGCTGAAGGCATTTTCCTTTAAAGTGACAAGATGTTGTTGTAGAAAAATGTTGTTCCAGAGATTTATAGGATTGCTGTCAAGGGCCATTGAATCTGTTCTGGCAGCACGTGGTAGCAAAACTTCTTACTCCTAACACTCCTAACACTGTTTATTTTTTCTCTTTAATTTAATACCAGTTTATTTAATGCTTTCTTACCATGACGGTCTCAAGGTGCATCATCCTGATGCCGTGGCTTACACATCCATCCTGGAGGAGACAGAAATCCCATTGGGGTTGTGTCAGGAAGGGCATCTGGTGTGAAAGTCTGCCAAAACAAACATGCAGCGTTACCTGCTGCGATGGCTCTCTATGAATGAGGGATTAGCCGAAAATAGCTTTTAAGGTGCATTATCCTAACCACTTCAGGAAACAGAAGGAGGTGTCAGATTAATGAGATTAATGATTTCATGTACATAGTTAGGTCATAAGTGTTTATTTAATAGTTTGTTGAGTTGTCACAGCAAATATTTGGCAAATAAGCTAAATAAGAAACTGTCTTTCTTTCGGTGTAAAAAATTTGAACTACATATTTAATCCTTGAGTTATCTTTATATGAGGAAAAAGAAGGCCAGTCTCATCAGGACATATCAGTTTTTTCTGCACAATAAGGAAATGCTGCTGCAGGAAATGAAAGAACTGTCACAACTCTCTGGCTTTAAATTGTAAGAAACAAAACATGTAAAATAAGAGAAAAAGTCCTGATGCTCATTATACAATAGGTAAAAGCTGTAAAACTTAGTCCAAACATATGCCTTTCATCACATTTCATCACATTTTCCAGAGCTGTCCACTGGGGCCAGATTGGAGCATTTGGCAGGCTGATTTTGACCCCCCCCCCAGGCCATATGTATGAGACCCCTGCTTTAGGATAAAGGAAGGGTTCAAAAAAGCCAGAGAAAACAGTGCAGCCATTAATATACGTGGGTTCAAAATATCTGTATCAGCCAATATTGGCCCTACTCACTGGTACCTCCTGCAAATTCTGGCTCAATACTCGAAGATCATGGGATAAAGGGATAAAAAATGATAAATTGTCATTTTAAACATTTGGTTGCATGTCAGCGTATCAGTATCAAAGTATCTCTGGCGCTGGGAAAAAGAACCGAAGAAGCTTGAAAATCCTGCTGTAGACATTTTGGAGTGGATATGACCGACATGCTGGTGTGACAGTAGTAAACAGTGGCGTGTTGAGTTTTCTGTAGTGAAGATGGAGGTGTCTCTGATCACACAGCAACTGTGATCAGCTCCCATGAAAAGAAATGAGATGAGACAGAACAAAGTGAGTCACTGTGACAGACAAGCGTGCTGTGGAAGCACTCGTCTTTAAATGCACACATGCACACGCGTATTTATATAAATCAGCTAAAGTGAACACAGAAGCAGTGTGTCAGAGTCGACAGAAGTGCAAGGACTCACACTGTGCTTCCTCCTAGTTTCATATCAGCAGTCGCGCAAGTCTCAGCTTGTAGTGAAACACAAGCTGAAGCTGCTTTCCTTACAGCCTCCTCCCACTAATGGCTTCTCTCAAACTAAGAGGTGGCTTTTTGTTGGAAAAGAGCTACTTTTAGAGTGTTTACAGTCACTCGGGTGAACCACGCTGAAAGGCGGGCTGAAGAAACACAGAAAGATGGCGGGTTTTAACTCCTTTCTGCAGTTGCTGTTTTGGGCCTGCTTCTGCCTGTTCTCAAACCTCTATTTAATACTTAATACAACACACAGATGAAGAAGAGATTTGAAACATCACATCATAAAGCATCATTATAATTTTGTAAGGTTCAGAAAAAGTATAAGGCACATTTTCAAAAGCTTACTCGTGGAAGATGTTGCACATGGTTGTGATCAAGGAAGAGGGACTGAAACAGTTATAAAGGATAAAGAAAAAGAACATTGAGAACGATCAGAGGCCGATGTTGATTGTTAACAGGGTAAAATGTGGTATATCTAATTGAACGTGTGATAAGATTTATTAATATGACACGCTCAGGGAGGGGCTGTATATGTGTGGTTGCAGGTATTTATTTTAGGGTAGATTATATCACTTGTGTCCAGGAACTGAAAGGTGAAGGAAGGGGATCTTCAAACCAAACCAACCAGTCAGTCTGCTTTCAAATGTGGTGGGATCAACAGCAACTACCAAACCGTGTGTGTGTGTGTGTGTGTGTGTGTGTCTGTTTGTGTGTTTGGGGTGTTAAACATCCCTTAACTGCCAGACATTTGAAAGATAAACAGAATGACATAATGTTTAGTTCTGAGGAATGACGAAATTTTAACCGCAGATTTTATTTATTTATTTTTTAAATCGCAATCATCCACAGCAATAACACGTAACCGATTTTGCTTTCGTTTTATGCGCTTACAAATCCTCTTTTGTGCCGTTCCTGATATAATTGCTATATATAAAAATTCTAGCACTCAGGGTGAAAG